ATATATGAACTATTTACATCAAGGGGCATTAAAACAAGGGTCCATGACCCCATATTGTTTAATTTCTGCATAAATGCTTAGCTCCTCTTTCTCTCCCTCCATTGGAAGTCCCCCTCAAAAAAACATATTCTTGAAAATAACATTTTAATGTTATTTTTGACCCAAAGCAGGGTTGACTGCTAAGGATGTCAAGAATGTCATCTTTGATGTAAACTTTGGATTCCACTTTGCGACTCCAGGTGAGCTTCTGTTCTATATCTTTGTTTTCATAAGATTTTCCATCATACCAGACACCTTTGCATTCCTCTGAGTAACCTAGCCATCTTTTCTGACTGAGTGATTTTTCAGGATTTTTTATAGCCACATTGAAGCTCTTTAATTTACTTCCCTAAATTCTCCATTTTTCCCTTGATGCAGCGCTTGACCTTGAGTCTGGCACTCAAAGGAGTCTCTTGCCTGATTGTGATTTTTGCCACCCTCTGTTGATTCATGTCGTGTGCTTCTCAGTTCTGATATGTAGTTCAATTTCTTCCCTTGCAGTGTTATATATTGCATCAGGTTGAGGGATGTGGACTAAGACAAATGCTAAAAGCACTAACCATGATAGGACTTCCTCAAGATATCTTGAAGCGTGTCTGCAAGAGGAGCAATCTCCAGCATATCTTTATTGTAACTGCTGAGTGGGAAAGGCATGGGCTGAATCTAGATGAATGTTATAAGGATTATTAGGTCTGGTTCATGCAATACTCTGTAAGTAAAGTCCAATGTGCACAGCAGTCTCCAAATGCCTGAAATAGATATCAGTTCTAACTGTTGCGAAAGTTACTCAGGGCTGATCAGCCCCATATCAGTCTTCTCCTTATCCCATTATCTGAGCAAGAAAGATCTGCTACTTGTCTGAAACAAAAGAAAAAGGAATATCCTTCTGGCTTACTCTCTTGTCTCAATATATTTGCAACTTTAAGGGAAAAAAACCAATTTAACAGTATCCATAATTGGATATGCTTTAAAAAAGCAAATTAATGAATCCATGCAGTATTTCTAATCTAAAGACAGCTGTTACAGGTACTCCAAAGCTTCTATATACATGGTTCCTTATTTTACAAGCTATTGCACAAACCAGACTTTTTTTTGTCCTTCTAACAATCAGGTGTCTTAACCTGAATTTGCATATAAAATTCAAATGATAATTTTTACATTTAAGAGGCTTAATCCTAAAGAATTCCTATATATATCATTTTCACATCAGTAGCAGCATATATATATATATATATATATATATATATGCGCATATAGGCAGAGTCAGGAAGCGAGATATGAGAAAATGAAATACTAAAAATGTGACTAATGTAAAGACAAGATTACGAGAGAAAGAAAGGTAGAATCAAGCATGATTTGACAAAAGCTGGTTAATACGCATTAGACATAAACTCTTAAACCCTGTCATCATCATGTACTATAAGGATAATAAAACTGTCCTTTGGATTGTTCAAATAATGTAGAGGAAGCAATTTGAGAAATTAGGAAAAGATGTACAGAACAGGTACAATGAAAGTGTCCACTGTTTAAGCTCCTTGATGCCAGAGGCAATGACCCCCATTCATTTGAGCCCAATAATCTGATAGGGTGCTTTGTTAGTGTCTGAGTTCCTTGGAAGTGTAGCATCCCACTTACCCAGGACATAGGAATAAAGTTCCTCTTTGGCCACCTATATGGACTTACCTGTACACAACATTGTGCTTTGCTATCTCTCTTATGCCATAAAGCATAGGACTTGGTGATAAATGAGATACAAATTGTAATGCCCATAGGTACATCGCACAGTTCTGTAGAAAAGATGTCGTATGCTTTCCATAGAGTATCCTCATGGACCAAGGATGGGAAACCATAGACCTTTCAGATGCTGTTGGACTCCAATTCCTATCAAGCCCATCCAGCATTGCCAATGCCAGGGATTGTGGAAGTTGTAGCTCCTGCAGATTCCCTATCCCTATCCCTTTAGAGTCCTGCTAACAGAGGTGCCATCTTCTCAAGTTGATGGAGGGAGCCCGACGCGACATTCTGACACCACACACACACAATGTCACGAGGAGCCAGGGTGCAGAGCTGAACATCTTCTGAACATTGAGGGGGCCTGGCCCCCTCAAGAAACCCAAAACATTGGGGGAGCCAAAACTGCCTTGGCCTCTAGAAGGTGGCACATATGCCTGCTAACATGGCATGAATGTTCTGTGCAACCTTTGTACTTTCTTGCTCTGCTTTTCTTATATTACTGCTTTCCTCAAACTGCATGTGCATCCTGTTTGGGGCCTGCTACTGTTTCAGCCAGCTCTTCTGAATTCCTTCAGGTTTGTTGTCTTTTCTCCCGGCCAAATAAGATAAACACATAGGTTCCTATTCTTTGTGCCCTTTACAAATCAAGTCCCATTTGCCTATTAGGAATAGTAGTTATTAATCTATTAATCTAATAAGCATCTCTCTCTCTCTCCCATGTTGCCAACATCCTTTCAATCAATACTACTGAAAATGCTAGAGGCAATTAAGACTGGGGAGAATTGTTTTGTTTTGTTTTTTAAATGTGGTTATGTGTAAAAGTTTCAGCAATGAATACCACTGTGCTGAGGTTTTGCTTTTTTAAAAAATAGATATGGCAGACTCAATTAGCACCACATTAGCAATACACTTTGTATAAATAAGTACGCTCGGCAAAGAAGGAAAAATATCAATAATCCACTGGCAGCCACTCAGTATCTCAGCACTGCGCTTTCAACACATATAGGCGCCTTAATTAGAAGTTTGCCCATGTGCGTGCTTCACTCATTAACTGCCTCTTTACTGAAAAGGAATAATGAGCTGAGTTCCTTAATCTGACATTAATAAATTGTCACCATTTTGGGAGGTATTTGAATGTAAAAATGGTGCTGTTCATTATCAAAATTATGTTTGATGAGTTGGTTTTGTTCTGGCTCATTTAGTGGGTTACTTTCACCCGATGGAGCAATCCATGCCAAGGGTCGGGGAGAAGGAATGCACGCACACAACCACAAATAAGCCAAATGGTCCCTGAAACAAATGCTCTGTTGATAAGGGAGAGGTGCAGCTGTATGAAGAATCTGTGTGAATTCTGAAAGTGTAAAAATTTCACAGCACCATCAATACGCTACCCAGTTTGAACATGTGCAATGGCGCGAGGGAACCTCTAGCCCTCTGCATGCTGTTGGAGTACAACTCCCGTCATCTTTGACCATTGGCCAGGGCTGGTGGGAATTGGAATCCAGCAATATCTGAAGGGTCATGGGTTCCCTGCCCCTTGAGAGGTGCTGCAGTGGAATGGCAAAGAGGGTGAGGTTTGAGCTGGGAAATTATTGATTCGGATCTCACCTCAGCCATGTACATGCTTGGTGGCTGTAGCTGAGTCTAAAGCTTTCCTCACATCCCATCTGAGTATCTGCAGCAGGAGAAATATGAACGCAGCATATAAAACCAGGAGTTATTTATTTATAGCATTTTCATACCACTTTGTATAATACAGATCTCTAAGCAGTCACAGTACAAGAAGAGCAGTCAGTGACATTTCCTAAAAACCAGATTTGGAACAGGATGAAAGCAAAACAAACACATATATCATGTCATGAATGAGCCAGCTCCCAGCGAAGGTTTGCAGCCAGCTCCCAGGGAAAGGTTGCTGTCAACTGAAGAAAGCAGTCAAGAACAGAGAGGGTTAACTGCCATGCAGGATGAGCATCTAGTGCCAACTCCCCCACCCTTTGGAATGCCAGCTGATAAGGGAATAGCGGGGAGCAAGCTAGAACGCAGTCAAAGCTTGCCAGAAGCACAAACAGGTGGGACAGAGTTAAGAGACAGCCTCTCAGAGAATGGGGAAGAGGGGGGGAGCTGACCCACTCAGTTTGAGGCCTCGGCGAATGGGAGGGCTGCAAGGCAGGAAGCAAAACAAAAGGCGTATGAAGCGAAAGTTCAGTTGCTTCTTCGTCACACTGGAAGCAGTCTTCAGAAGGGTCATCTTGACTGATGAGGGTGAAGGTTGTGTTAAAGCTGTCTGGAGCTATCTGTTTGTTTTGACAATAAATCATCCTTTTTAATTAACTACGCTCACTGTGTTATCAAGCCAGGGACCAGACTCCTGACATATCAGAAATAAAGCTAAATAGGGTACAAAAGAAAGAATTCAAAATGTTGACGGTGGAACTCAGTATCATGTTAGGTCTATAGCTACATCCATTTCAGCCTGTCAGACAGAATGACGCCCCCTCTCCTCCCCTCATGT